ATTTTAAATAATTCTCCATCATTTAATTTTTTTTACTAAAATTATATTTAATTATTCGTGAATAAAAATATTTTTTATTTATAATATAGTTAGGACAAATTCTGTAGAATTTTTTTTTTCATGGAGAATTCCTATTTTATTTTTCCTCACAGAAAAAAAAACCTTATTTTCAATATGATAATTGTTTAATTTTTCTATTGACTTTTTCTTCAATTGAACTGTTTTTAGACCAATATAAAATAAATAATATCATTTTACTCATTTCTTGCATGCAACTCAATATTGGCATTTCGACTAATGAAAGGATTCGATTATAAATTCTGGATGAAGACATCAATCAGTTTGACTTGTAATTAATAGTTTTGATTAGTGTAGAGATGGCTGTTGTCTTTATTGTTGATAATAATCATTAATATTCTAGATATTCTACTGATTTCACGAGATCTTAATCATATCTATGCACAGTAATGCATAGATTTAGATGATGATATCATCGATGCAGATGGCACAGTCCAAAAGCTTGGGGTGGGGATCGACATGGAGCCAATCATCTTCCACGGCTGCCTTTCTTTTACATTGCAGCATCACAGGCATACATCGAAAGTTACGGGAAGGTTTTTAATGCCCACAAACACAAATGCTGGTTGTTCAGCCTGCAGCCGTAACGCGGCCTCCTTCCTTATAACTCAATGCTCTCTCCCTCTCTTGCGTTGTTTTGGGTCTCGGAAGAAGAGCCACAGAGACGGCTGGAGCTCGGCAGACGCGAGGAGACATTGGAAGTGAGCGAGAGGGGTTTCAGCCTCCGGTCTCTTTCTTTCTCTCTATCTGAAGAGAAGAGGTACGATTTATGTCGGCATTGCGCCTTTTATGTGCGATTTATGCAGTGAGCCTCTGAGCTCTCTTGGTTTCTTGGATTGGATTTGGTAATGGTTGATGTCTTTCTCTCTCTTTATGATCCTCATTCTATGAACAACCTCTCCCATCTTTATTTTGTTCAAAAGGTGCCATTTTTCCTTCATTTTTGATGGAAGTATTTAGTAATTGATATCTGTGGATGATGCCTCCCGATTGCCGGTGGCATCAATTGGTCTGCTTTTGATCAGATAAGGCTTTTTTCTCTCGAAAAAAAATAGATTTTTTTTCTTTTATGCACTCCTTATCTCTTCGAAAGGATCTCTGGTTACATAGCTTTTGTATCTCTGTTTTCTAGTTCTTGTACACATAGCACCTTATTTGGATCTAAATTCTGTAAAATAAATCTGATTTGTTCATCTCGAGCTGTGGAGGTGGACTGATATGTTGGATGGAGAAGGAATTCTGGTCATCTTTTCTAGAATTTGATAGTATTTGTGGAAGAAAGGAGTTTAAAAGTACTGTATATAGTATTTAGCCTACGAATTTTGTCAAAAATACCTGAAAAATTTAGGAACTGAATATGAAATCTGAAGCCTTTCAACTTTCAGGTCGTCCTATGATGATGCTGTATTTATCCCCCAAACGAAAGAAAAAACAAAAAAAATTGAGATGGCAGCTTTATTGAACTCATGATAGCAGATAAGGATGATGGCGATGATTTCGAAAGACTAGTATGAAAAGAAAATATAGGTGGACCCAGATGCAAGTATGTTTGTTCTTCATCCTAGTTGGCCCTTTTTATTTGATCATACCAAAAAAAAAAGGGGATAAAGGGTCCTAAAAGCTTTCCAGATGCTACTGCAAAGGGCATCAGTTTTTGCACATGTTGTTGAGCAATCCAAGGTGTATTCAAGCATAAAAAAAACTGTCACTAAAACCCCTTTAGTAACTGAAATTTACTCTCTCATTGAGCAGTTGTTTGATGCCAATTGATGTGTTTTTGTTAGCCGATTGAATCGACTATTTAGAGAATTTTCCTTAGAAATGGACTAGATTGATGCAGATAAGATTATATTCATTCACACAAGAGTTTCTTGTGAGGAATTCTTTCTTTAAGATTGATGGCTTCCATGATAGTTGATGTTTCAACTATTACTAAGAATAGCTACTGACATTGGATGTTCTCCAAATAGTAGCGTGCAAATTTATCTGACATTGAAATGGATGGTTTATAGTCCAATGGGTATGAAATTGGATGATACATACACCAGAAAGGCACAAGAGAAACCTCACTAGGGAGAGAGCAATAATGGAATGGTTGATTCTATCCTGTGCAACTCAAACTTGGACCATGGCTAAGATTGGTAAGTCCTAAAATAGAATGCAAAATCCTAGGGGACACTATACAGAACTGGAAGATTTTACTGGAGTCCGGAACCTAAATTTTGTAGTAATGAATAGACAAACAAGGAAGTCAGTTCTAAGTCCTTGAGCTGATATCTTTCATGGAGTTTGAGCAAATAGTCCAAAGGATTTTGGTTAGGCTGGCTTGAGAAAGGAGTTCAGGTCTTTTGAGCTGTTTGCTCTTTCTTTCTTCTCTTAGAAGACATAATTTACTAGATTGTCGGTTTCCTTGAGATTGTTAACATTGCAATGCCTGTCTGACTACTGCAGCTCTTAAAAGTTGACCGGATTCCACCATATTATTTTTTTCTTATTGTTTTTAATTTGATGTTGCATTCTTGTATAATTTTTTCTTCCGCTTCTCTGCAGAATAAGATCATAGCCATGGACAAAGTCAGCAATGTGGTCTTGGATATCGAATGTCTTACACAGCCAACTGAATTATGTTGCACTGGAAGCCCGAAGATGCCTGTAAGTGGGGTATTTGATATTATTTTTTTTATGACATCTGCATAATAATCAAGAAACAGATCTTAAATTTTCTTCTGATTTGTTAGTCATACAAAGAGATTTGAGTTTAATCTTTTTTGGATACATAGAAAGTGCTTTCACGAAAGGGATCAATCCGCATGGAGAAACATAATGGGGAAGAGCAGAAAGCGGATGATGCATTAAAGAAGCTTGTCATTAAAGGTACAAGATGTTGATATTTCTATTAGATATTACTCTAGAAACATTATGTCTGGCAAATGCAATAAGCATGACAATAGGTGTTGCTTCGATGTCTTAAATAATAGTTCACATGGAATAACTTAATAAAAACCATAAAATTTAATTTACTTAAAAATCCAACACTAGACAATATACCTCAAGTTTATTGCGCTCATTTTATTTCCATGCACTCTGAACATTTCTTCTTGGGAATTTCAATAAGCTCCGAATATGTCAGTAATCTTTTGCAACATGCTAAGAGTGAAACTCGACCCCCTTGGTTGTTCACCATTTAAACCTCAATTTTTTCCAATGCCATACTTGAACTTTCAAATCAATCAGTTAACATTATTTCCATGTTTTTTTCTCATAAAACTTAATTTTCTTATCTATAATTGGCATTTTGACATTGTTTTCTGTAGTAGTACCTTCTCTGCCCGAGCAGCCGCTGAAGCAGCCTCTTGTGCCATTTAAGAGTTTCCAGGCTGTACAATCTGTGCCTAATAGCCCTGTTTTCCAAGATATGGGAGAAGGAAGGTGCAAAAGATCAAATCGCTTAACCATCCATCCGCGAAAGATTCTTCTTTTCTTCGCGACCATGTGAGTGCTATTGAAACTTATCATCATATGAACAATCATTATCTCGAACATTACCAGTGCAATAAAATCTTAACTAGAAAGTAGCATACTATGATCATATGAACAATCATTATCTCGAACAATGGACTGCGGAAAGTGCCACTTACTCAGAAGAGTGTAATTAGATCACACTCACATAAATCCTTAACCAGATGTTATGTTTCTTGGAACAATGAGCAGGTCAAGCATCGGGACAATGATTCTCATATACTTCACGCTTGCTATTAACCGAAAAAATGGAGCTTACCTCTGGTCCTGAACTTTTACCTGCAAGAACAGCTCAGTTACCTTTGTGAAGGTGTCGGCAACGGAACACATGCAGCCATTAATTACCACTGAGGAGCTCATAAACCTTTGTCCCACTTTTTTCACATATCCACTGGCAGTGATCACTGATGGTAGAAGCATGACAGTGAAAGTAACCCATTGCTCTGATGTAGTACATAAGTGGTGTGAACTGTGAAACTCTAACTGTAAAAGCTTAAATTGGTACTGTGGAGCAGTCAGCTGCCTTGAATTACTTCTCATTGCACCCACCACCAACTAATGCTGCTCTGAGCTTGCTGTCACTATTGAATGCTAAAATGTCGTCTTGTTCTATCTGGTTAGATTTCAATTGTATCCTTTCTGTGGTGAGTAAATGAGTTAATCCTGCTAAATATGTTACTGTGAAGATGTGATAGTAGAGCCAATTCTTGAGTAATATTTCTTATGTCAGATGCTTAACTGTGATTAGTCTTATGATTCCAATGGGCATAGCTCTACTATTATCAGTTTAGATTAATAAACAAATTATCTTATTACAAATGATATAGAGCTAAATATAATATGAAATATGCTACATGTGAGCAAACATTATGTGCTTTGAATACCAATGTCATTTACTTGTCACATGATAGGAATGTTAATTATGCTCGTAATCCAACTAATCTTAGCTTTAGGCACTAATGTCATCCCTAACCCTAATTAATGGGCGATTTTGTTGTAGAAGCAAAATTGTCGTCTTTTCTGAAAGAAGGAATAAATTGGACGTAGAGGAGGGCTCGTGGGGCCCGCGCTTTGGATAGTTCTGCTACCAACGGCAAGGAAGGTAACACGGTGGGGAACGCGGAAACCAGTAAAGAAACCAGTAAGGAAAAGTATTGCTCGAATTTGGTGTATAAGCAGAACCATTAGAGGAGGAGGCCGTCTGGGGCCCTCTCATTTGACAGTACATCTACCAACGAAAAGTCAGGTAACAATTGGGGAAAGACGAAACGAGTAAACAATTAGGAAAAGTGTTGCTCGTGTGTATTGCAGAAGCAACACTGTTTGGAGGAGGGCTCCTGGGACCCGCTCGTAAGACAGTATTTTTACCAATAGAAAGCCAGGTAATCAATGGGTGGGTACAAAACGTGTAAATGATTGGGAAAAGTGTTGCTCGTACTCATTGATGCTTTATGCGTGGGAAGGTGATGTAGCCTTCTTGCGCTTTCTGCCATCTTCGATTCGAAGCCCAGAGTCGCCGCACGAACCGCCTCGATCCGTCGCATAAATCTCGATTCCCTGAGATTGGACACGAACTGGAGCGGTAAGCATCTCGATCCTGTTCTTTTCATCATTCTTTTTCTTGTTTCCTTTTTACGCTCTTATGCAAATGATTGAGTTCATGCTTTCTCGATTCTTGATGGTCGTTCGCGTGCGATTCGTGGTTAGGGTTCCTTAATTTGGATTTCGGTTGATTCGTGTGTTTCTTAGCTGATTTTTGTGGATATGGGCTCTCTCTTTTTGTTGATGGAGGATTCCGTTTTAGTTGTGTATCGATGATCGTATCCTTAAATGCATATTAGTTGCATGACTCCTCGAATCTGATACTTACGGTTGATGGTTCCATTTCAAGATTCCAAATTATGCAGTGGCATCACAAATCGCAACTTGGAGTTATTGCTATATTCACTTCCGATTAGTTAGAGGATAATGGATTTAGTAACTTCGATCGCAGATTCAAAATATGAATTTGTGGATTTAGATTTCGTGAAGAAGGTTAAGGTTCGGGTTTTCTTTGTTCATAGCCGTCCTTATCCTTAAAAAACAAACATTTTCCCTATATTGCTTATCATCTGGATATTTAAGGGGATCCCAATTTAATTGGCGTGTCAACGTTTGGAATTTCAAGTTATAACACCTAATTTGCAGAAATTTTCTAAAGTAACGACGCTCGAACAAGTTGACGGCTTTCGATGCCCTTTGTAATTTACCTCAGCGTGCAATTTTAAATAGTTTGCTGTCAAAATGTGAATTGGAAACCTGCAAGTTTTTTTTGCTCACAATGTGTTCCATTTCTAAAATTTCAATGAACGAATTTTAATTGAATATTGTACTTTCCCTTCATTGTCAAAACTTTATAGATGTCACATGTTGTGTTAGTTGAACATCTTCTGAACCATCAGGGTTTTAAATATTGTGGTATACTGACCATATCATACCAACCTGATTGTATACCAGTAATATCAGTGTACTTATTTTACATATTTATACCAACATATAATGCAATTTAGTTATTTTTATTCTGTTAATGAGGTATGTATTATGAAATTGTATCAATCTGACAAGGTATTGTATCGTGATTGTGCTTCTGTTCCAATATTCAGAACCTTGCTTTTGTCAATTCATTCTTACAAGTTGCATATCCGACTAATATTTGAAGATGCCAATTTTGGCCTCTTTATTAGAGAGGTCTAGATGAAAGAAGAGTGATTGTGTGTTGATTATTTTATGAGCAATTGGTGTTTGATTGGCTAATTGGTCATGAGTATCTCCATTACTTTTGTGTTTTGTCCTGCTTCTGACCTCCCTCTCCCTCTAGATTTTCTCTCAATTTGACTTGTGCCCATTTGTCAATCAGTTTTGTCGATATGATCATAAAAGTTGTCAAATCCTAGAGGCAGTGGGTGTGAACAAGATGTCCTCCTTACATGGTTCTAAAGTGGGAAGACAACTAATTTTGATGGATCTAGAAAAGAAGATTCTTGTAAATAAAAGAAAATGTTTTGTGGCTTATCTCACCTATAAGATTAATTACATTGCCGCCCATTGTTTGTGTCGTAGATCTTGTAAAAATGAGCAAGATTTTGTCATGATAAGCCATCATTGTGAGCATTGGATCCCTATCTTCATGTGAGGAGGGGCCTTGCATCAAATTAGTATCAGATGCAAGGTTCTGAAGATCAGCCAACTTTGATCGAGATAGGCCTTCCCCCATATCAAGATAAACTCTTGAATCCTTTTCCATCAAGCATTGTCCTGTAAACCTAATTTGTCAGGCAAAATAAGAACAAAGAGAAAAACAAAACAAAGAGGAGAGGAGATAAGATATAAAAAGCATTAGGAAGATTCTAAGCTCCCTCCACGGTCAAACTTGCAAAAGTTCCTGATTCCTCATAACATTCTTGTTAGCCCTTAAACCAAACAAAGGAGTAACTAGAAAGAAGCCTATCTGTTTATGCTTACTCAATTGACATTGCCCTATGAATGTGGCTCCAAGATGTGCTCCATGACTACCTCCATTTAGAAAGTAGGTACACAAGAGGATATGCTAAAAGTTGGGGTGATTAAATATTAAAAACAGCTTTAGCTATCTGATTATGAATTAATTATCTCAACTACCTTCTTGTAAATGGAAAAGCAGCAGTGGTCCCATTACATAGGCTCCTCATGGTGTCCGTTCACATGATAGACAGGTGAGACAAGTAAGCAAGAAATGTGTACATAAAGCATTTTTTATATATTAATGTAAGCATCTAATTAAAATAATAGGATTAAACTAAATATTCGTAAAATATAAATAACATAACTGATAGACTGTGAAACAAAATTTATAGTTAGCGTAAAACATAATCAAAGAATTTTATTCTTTTGACAATAATATACATGATATAGCATTAGAAAAAAAATGTTAAAACATAATAAATATATTAGAATATGGTAAAATTGTGAAATACAAATATATGATACATATGAATATAATACAATATAATATAACATAATAAATTGTGAAATAACAAAATTGTTTGATAACTTGTAGTTTAGCTAGGCTATTGCCATTGGTTGGTGTATTCTAAATAGGCATTCCGTGAGGATAAACTCTGGTATGATGGTGAGATTGGTTCTGTATGTCCTGGATAATCATGCTTATAATCTCTCTATTACTTACAGAGGTGAGGCTGCATGCTTTTATCCTGCCCAGACCTCGTATTGGCTACAGTCCCGTGCACTCAGTATGTCTTTTTTAAATAAACATCCAGTTTACTGAGAACCTTCTTCTAAATGAAAAAACCTTATAAGCTACTATTGAGAAGCCCCATGTACTGAGCTAATGACTGTTGCACTGTGGACCGTGATCTAATAGCTCCTTAGATACTAATGAACATAGCAAAACATGCAATCGGAATGCTAAAACTATATTGTTAATACATCTTTGCTTAGTTCAACCTTGGTGTAGTTAAAGATTTCGTAATATCAATATTATTCTTAGAATAACTTATATGAATCAGCTGATTCCATACCTTTTATTTGTATCAATAGGTAAGTTGTTGTCAGAGGATGGTAACTCTTTCCACCGGTTCTGTTTATGCCAATCTCAGAATGCTTTTACACTGTTCTTTTTTCACATTTTCATTGGTTCCTATTGCTCATCAAAACTACCATATCTACTTTGCTGATCATATTTGAACTTTCTTCCAAATCTATGTTTGCTGAAGGGCGATGGCTGCTTTGCAATTGGCAACTGCTGAAGTTTGCGATGCTAACCCTCACCTAATCCTCAGTGGTGAGCTTCGTGCGCTACACCCAATCTTCCAAATATACGGGCGCAGACAGGTTTTCTCTGGCCCAATTGTGACTCTCAAGGTCTTCGAGGACAATGTTCTTGTGCGTGAATTCCTGGAGGAGAAGGGTAACGGCAGAGTTTTGGTTGTCGATGGGGGTGGAAGCATGCGCTGTGCGATACTAGGTGGAAATCCAGTTCAACAAGCTCAGAACAACGGGTGGGCCGGTATAGTTGTCAATGGCTGCATCAGGGATGTTGATGAGATCAATGGCTGTGATATCGGTGTACGAGCTTTGGCTTCTCATCCGATGAAGGCTAACAAAAAGGGGATAGGTGAGAAGCATGCTGCGATAAATGTTGCAGGAACAAGGATCTGTGATGGCGAATGGCTTTATGCAGATACTGATGGTATCCTTGTTTCAAGGACAGAATTGACAGTTTGAAGTCCTGGCTTAATGTCGATCTCTGCCATGGCACTAGCAACCCACTGCTACTGATTGTTCTCAACCTACGGCTTCTCCAAATATTTATGTGCACTTGTATTGATTACATCTTTTTGTTTACGGGTGATTGATGTGTACCACGGTGAGTAGGAACTCATCTGAGAAATGCCATGATGAACAATAAGGGCCATTTCTGGTGTTTATGTTTCTAGTGTCTGTAGAAGAAATAACTATACTATTTCAATCGAGACGGTCAAATCTTATTAGTTTGTTCTTGTTTTTGTTTTTGTCTTTTCGTTGACCATATTAGGTTTTCTCCTCTTCTATCTCAGCCTGAACTGAGTTTCAACAATGTTTCACAGTGACTCTTATGTGATTAAAACTATTCAAATTTATGATCTTTCGTATAATAATAAGATTGTTCTTTTATGATCCCAGAGTTCAGGATTTAAATCATGAATAAAATCATATGTACATTGGTCCTCTCCATATCTCACATTAGTGGGAATCTCATGCACCTAATACATTCCATTTAAAATTATTTAAGTTTGTTGCGTGATTTCTTGTCTTTCTGTATAATATTAAACATTTAATGCAAACAGAAACGAAGATCCTTTCATTTGTGCTTGACTTGTTTATAGGTTACATCAAGTCTTCCTGTTCTCCTATCACATTAACTTTAGCTTGAAACTCACTGTACGAGAAACTGATGTAAACAAATTGCTTCATGTAGATACAAATACTACTAGGCTTTGCACCAGACACTAAATCTGTGCCATCTAAATAAGTTGGATCAGAAAATCTATCATGTTTTCTGCATTTGCTTCCTTAAACCCTTGAGTGGCCCGTACTCGTTCAACTTATCCTCCACGGCATCTTTGCTGCATTTGCAACAGCTCTTGTTCAGATTTGTGCCGCATCTCAGGCACAGACCTTTGCAACTCGCTTCGCAGACTGCATTTATTGTGATCTCTACGTGGATGATGTCTCGTATGTGTTTGGAGATGTCGATTTCCTTTTCTTCGGCTGGAAAGTGGAGTCGGTCATCCAAGTCGATGGCATTCTCGCCATCCATCTCATTATCACTTCCAGAAGAGCTGCTGTGTATATCTTGTCCAAATAAAGTTCCCATGTTTATTTCATCAGATTCTTCAATAGGTTCCTCGGTAAGCAAAAGACCAAAGTTTGAGAATACACATTCAGCTGCCGGTTCAGCGCACCTGGGGAAAGAATTGAAATGGAAATTATCTTATATAACCATCAAAAACAAAGCAGAAAATAGAATATCAGGAAAAGAGCCAAAAAAAACACACAACAAGAATACTTTAAATTATAGGATTGTATTAAATACTTAACATAAATTAGAAATATTTAATTCTAGGATTGTATTAAGTGCTCAACATAAATTAGAAACTTCACAGATAGGGAAAAGAAGAATGAGACAAATGTTCAGCTAGTTCTTGCTATCTCAACACAAGTTGATGATCACAGAGTTGAAATTGTACACATTTGACAACAAAAGAAACAGGAGAGAGAATCAAAATGAAGTCTCTCCAAAACTTGAAAATGGAAATGGACAGTTTTATTAAGTACGTACTCAAGAAAAACATCGAGGGTGGGTGAAAGAGCTCACAAAAATCGGGAATGAGAATGAGCTGAAACAAGCCCAAAACTGCATCAATGGTGATGCATGAGGTTATCATACAAACTCTCAACCAATGAAAAAATAGACACTCCATGCATGAGGCTCTAGCCATGCCAAGCCAAAGAGGGTCAGTGTGGAGAGTTCTTGCTTGTATTCATTTAATAGATCATATCTTTTATTCTAAACCTTGTTTCTCTATCCTCTTCACCTGTTCTACATGTCTTGATAAATTCTCTCACTTCCCCTTTTGTATCTTCTATTCAATTTTCGAAGACCTATATAACCAAATGGGCATTTTTGTGTTCCAAAACTAATATTACTGCTGTTTGCTATAGCCATACTAGATCATATATTTAGGAGGACCACTGTCTTGTCATATGGCTTTAAAAAAAGATTTAAACACTGCTGTTTGCTATAATCATATTAGAAATTATAAATAAAGATTTAAATACTCCTAACTTAACTACTAATATGATTTTTGACATATCTCAATGATGGCAAAAATTTATGTATCCAATCCCAGATGGTTGGGACTTACGGTTTTATTGTTGTTGTACCGACAAGTGATGCACCCTCCACATGGTGAGAATGGTGAGAAAGACAACAACACTACAAAAAAGATATTTCGAAGAACTATACCGAAGCAATAGTTATCATAAAATTGAGAAATTTATTTTCTGCCTAAGTTGCAAAAAAGATGGATAGCTGATTGAAGAAGAAAACTGTTGAGTGGAACTTGATACCTATTGATTTCCCAGTAATAGAACTGACAACTTCTATGAAATGGATAATTAAAATTCAAATATTAATAAGCAAAGAATCAGAAAGTCCTTTGATAATTGACTTTTGACCTGAATAATTCTGAGAAAATTTAACATTTTAAGACACTTGCACATCAATTTGCTAGAGAAGAGATAGTACAGCCATAACAAGTAATGCTGACTATAAAGAGCCTGAAATTGGTGAAAAGGATCACCATAATGCCAATGACAATATGCTCGCAAGAGGAATTAATTTCCAGTGAAACAATAAGCAAAAAAAGACCACTCATCAAGTTCTTCAAGAAAGAAACAATCATGCCTACAATTCAATCCCCCCAAATTCTGTATAAGCTGAACTACCAATTCATTCCAGTTTGTTTTAGCTTTGAAAAATGACCACATAGCAATCAATATTCAACAAAAGCAAAATTATGTCCAGAAAGGGGATAAGAGGTGAAAAGAAAAGGCACCATCTTTTACCAAGATAAAAGAAAGATACTCGCACCTGTTGCAGCGGAGCGTGATTACAGTCCGCAGGATCCCATCCAGCTTCAGCCTCCGCTTCCTCCTGGTGACATCCAGCGAGATGAGCACCGGCGTCTCGTCGTCGCCAAAGGCTGAATCTTTTGCCCGTCTAACCGGCAGCCGGATCCCCATAGCGGCGGCACGGGACCGGGACACTCCACCGGAGAGCTTCCCGAGCCCCAGCCGCTCAAGGGTGGTGCAGTACTCCACGTGGCATACCGATGGGTCCCGCCGGTACACCACCGCCCCTTCCCACGGCGATCCGACAAGGTCCTCATCCTCTTCGCCGCCGCCAATGTCGTCCATGGTGGCGCCGAAGTCGGTGGTCTCGGAGACCGCGAAGGACGAGGCCTTTACAGGGACCAGGGCTAATCCGGTGGGAATCGAGACGGGCTTGGAGATCAGAGAGGGGAAGAATGGTGTTGGGATTGGGATGGAGAGAGAGAGGCAGGAATTGGGAATTGGGCGGTAGAATCTGCCGGGCTTTGGAAGGCAAGAGCGAGAGGAGGAAAGCGCCATTTTAGGTTTCTTTTCCGGCTCTCTTCTCACTCTCCTTTCAGAGGTTTTGACATGAGAGAGAGAGAGAGAGAGAGAGAGAGAGAGGGTTTTGGAGTGCGAGGATGAGGTCGATAAGGTAGCGGCTAAAATTGAGTTATTTTTATTTAAGAATTTATCAATAATTATTTTTTGTTTTCTTCGATAAATTTGGTGGTCAACCAATTTCTACTTTATTAAATATTTATAAACTTAAATTAGGAGGATTTATATTGGTAATCCTCTTTTATAATTTACAACCTTGCTTTAAATAAAATTAGCATTTAAAAAATATCTCATTATAAATAAATATAAATATATTTTTATTTTATTTTTTCTTTTTATCTTTTAATGAGTAGCAACGAGCAACATCAAAAGTAGCATTAGATAATGTTGAATGATAATATAATCCATCTAGTAATGTCAAAAGACATCTAGTAATGTTAGATAATGTTGGATAGCGTAAGGTTGTAATTAAAAATTCCTATTTGAAATAGATTGTAAATAGTAAAGTTATATTTTATTCTTTTAGGATTACTAATAGTATGCTTGTAAATTAATTGGAGTTTCACTAACTCTCCTGATATAAGGACATAATTAAAAATTCCTAAATTTTATAAAAATATACATATACTTAATATAGTTTGAACTTAAAAATAAGAAGATAAATAAAAATAATGCATTTAAAATATAGGGTATTTTTCTTTAAAATCATCAAGATTATTTTTTTTATCTTAAAGATCAAATGGTCCTAAAAATATTTGGATAATTTAATAGGAAAACCCCCAAGTTGTGAGGTTTTATGTGATAAAATCCCTTTTTTCCCTGTAATTACACCCATTATTTTATTATTTTTATATTTTTAATTGACAGGCCCTATGAACTAAAATAAAATAGACAAAAATTACATATTTTGGGGATAATATTATGGTGGTGAATGCTTTCTTCCATAAATTCTTGATGTAACGTAGGTTAAAGTGGCATCACCAAAAGTAGATTGTAACATAGCATCTAATTAATGTAAGTCCCAATTAAATGTTTGAATTCAACAGGTGTCTGTTCCATCCGCCATTAGCTCCATGCTACTTGCAGCTTACAGCTTATTCACAGCAACCAAGTCAAAAGAATCAATCAAACAACAACACGGCACAATTTGCTCCACACAAGAAGAGGAAGAAGACAATGATGTAAAGTGGATATCAGTTGGTGGCGCTGCAGATCTTTCTGACCTCCCCAG